GCTAATCCTGAAAAACAGAGGCTACTTCAACAGGAGGTAGCATTTCTGTTAAAATGTGGATTAGTGGAAGAGTTGTCCAGTCCGTGGGCTTCACCATGAATCCTTGTTAAGAAGTCTGATGGAGGATTCAAGATGTGTACAGATTACTGTATGGTGAATGAGGTTACCATTCCAGATGCTTACCCTCTGCCATGTTTGGATAATGAAGTGAACTATGTGGGTAAGGCCACTTTTGTTTGCAAACTAGACCTCCTTAAACGTCACTATCAGGTACTTTTAACAGATAAAGCGAAGGAGATCTCTGCCTTCGTAATTTCAAGTGAACATTATCAATATGCTGTGACCCCATTCAGAATGAGGAACTCGCCTGCCACATTCCAAAAGCTTATACATCAGGCTATTAACCCTTAAACGGTCCAAACGTATATATATGTTCTCTCACCCAGCACCCCGAATATTTTGGAAAAAAAAAAGTTGTTTTTATAGAAATAAAGAGCACATTTTTTTTTTAAGTGTTATAGGAAAAAAGCAAAATTAGGGTCAGTACTTGGCAATCACCTGACAGCAACATGGAGTGCTGCTGCTTGCAGAAATTCTACATATTTCCTTTGATTTCATTGTCAACTGTTGTTTATACACCAATATTATATAAGAAATTATCATATTGTCATAATACTGTATGATACTTCATGAAGTATGGATTCATACAGAGTGCCACCCCCACACTGGTGACATGAATCTGGTGTTCTTCCGCTGTTGGGGTCGTTTTGTGGTGGTAGCACACACAATACACTTTTTCTGGGAATTCTTCTTCTTTGGGGTAAGTGGTATTGGAAGCAGGTAGTGACGGTTAGGGATGATTCGGTCTGGAACTTCCCCCACTGGCTGTGGTTGTGGGACAAGTTGCTGTTGAGGGGCAGGTACAGGTGTGGTACCATACTTTCTTGTTATCTGTTTTACAACATTCAGGGAGAATTCTGCAAAACGTTATTTTTCCAGTCTTTATTTCATACATATTGAATGCATTGAGCACTGCCATGTCTACAAGGTGAAAAAAACAGTTTTATACAGCACTTGTGACTCATGCGCACACAGTCAATGAACCCTATCATCATGTCACACTTGTCAACTAGTCGCATATTGTTCGTGTAGTCCACAACAGCAGCTGGCTTTACAATGTGTTCATTGGACTCCCTGTTCACTTTGTCTGTACCATCTTGTTTCTGTGGATGGTTGACAGCAATGTCACATTCCATTTGTCATGCCACGTCAGTGCCATGATGTCATTAGCATGAAACACTTGCACTGCACCTTCAACACTGTCTCTACTGAACCTTGGCATATGTTTTCTATTCCTTCTCACTGTTCCGCATATATCAGTATTGTTCACACATAGGAAATCAGCGAGCACAGAGCTTGTATACCAGTTGTCTCTGTACAATGTATGGCCCTTGCCAAGTTATGGCTCCATCATCCTGCGAACAACATCACCGGAAATGCCCAACATCCGTCTGTCATCATCAAGTGTTTTTTTCCTGGTGTATACAATAACATCCAACACAAGACCACTCTCATAGTCACACATAACGAAGTTTTATACCAAAGTGATTACGTTTGCTCAGTATATATTACTTAAATGACAGGTGTCCCTTGAACAGAATCAAGGACTCATCAACAACAATGTTCTTGAAGGGATAAAAGTATGCACTGAATTTCTGCTTCAAATACATAAACAATTCCCGGATTTTGTATAGGTCATTTCTGTTTGGCGTATTCCTGTCTGAGAAGTGCAACATTCATAGCAACAGAGTGAATCTGTTGCAGGGAAGGAGGTCACGGAAACTGGAGTACTGATGAAGTAGTCTGTGGACCAGTAGTTAGATATATTGCTCTTATAGGTATGTGGCATAAGCATGACAGTGGCAAAGAATAAATACATTTCAGCCATTGTTGTGTCTTTCCGTCTGTGCAACCGTGACGATTCTCCAACGTCTGCTGTGTTGTCCATGACCTATCGGTAATAATTGTTTGTTTGGGTCACTATCAAGTTCATTATAGGCTCGTCAAAGTATAACTGGAAAAAGTCTAACTCTGTAGACTCATTCGTTAGGGGACATTCTGGCTGGATGCCACTACCACTTGCATCAAAATCACAAGGCTGTGGCATGAATATACTTTGTGTCCAGTTCCACTCATGATCACAGGGTGCAGGGTGGACCTGTGGCATGGGGCAAGGGGGAGCAGGAGGGACAGGAATGGAGGCAGCACATGGTTGAGGGGGTGCCGGGCAGTCCTTTTCTGTCTACTCACCATGCCATGTGGTCTAGGTACCATGCCACCCACCACTACTACCTCCATCCCAGCATATTCACCTTCATGATCACTATCACTATCAGTGGCCGGGGTTTTGGATCGTGACCTGCCACGACCCGTGGGGACTGCATGTGGCACACTGCCTGAACGTAGAAGCCGCCGCCTAAAAGTACGCTTAACTGGTGAATAATGAACTTCACTATCACTAAACGAATCCTCAAATGGCAAAAAATCAATCTCATTGTCACTTACATCACTTTCACTATCACTAAAACACTTGAAAAATGATAGTTTCCTCTTGCGAAGTTGCCTATAGGTAACACTCGCCACTCCAGAGGTGCTTGGCCCAGGGTCTGGTGCGGCCACCCCAGAGGTGATGGGCTGAAGGTCATCTGGGTTATCGTCGATATTTTCACTAATTCCTTGAATATTAGTGGCCCCATTGGTGTCAAATCCACTAAACTCACATTCTATATCACTTTCCTCGAATAGCAGTGTATTAATACGATGAGGTGCGAGTAAATCATGAGGCTGTGCCATGATGTTGAACCAAGATGAAGCTGAATGTAACTGGTCCTACCATGCAGTACCCAGGCATCCCTGATTTTTTTCATATGGTGCACACTGAGTGTGCAGACCTATTCTCTCATGTCTAGGCGACTCAGGCCTATTGTGCCAATTTTGAAAGAATGAAAAAGGAAATGTATATATACGTTTGGGGTGCTAGCGGTAAGAACTTGTATATACATTTGGACCATTTATGGGTTAAAGAACTTGAAGGCATGACAGCTTATCTTGATGATATAGTATTAGCTTCCAATACATGGAATCCACACCTTTCCCAACATAAAACTCTTTTGAGAGGTTCAGAAACTTTAAAATTACCCAGTACCTCATAATAAAAAGTCCCTACAGATTTTTGGGAATGATAGTTTCTACAGGCACTTTTGTAGGAACTTTGCAGATGCAGTACCCCCCTAACCTGATTTACCAGTCATAAAAGCAAATTTTGTTGGATCCCAGATTGCCAAGAGGCATTTAATTGTGCTAAACGAATCTTGTGTACTGCACCCATTCTGCTGTTTCCCGATTTTTCTAAACCTTTTGTGTTACGGGTTGACATTTGTGAGTCAGAGGTCATGAGAGTATTACTGCAAATGTCCGAGGAGGAATGTTTGCAGCCTGTGGCGTATCACTCATTCAAGTGTCAGGCCCATCAATGGGCCTATCTGGCCATTGAGTAAAAAAGCCCTAGCGCTGATACTTGTGCTGGAGCATTTTGATGTCTTCTTGGGGCAGTCATCTCAAGTGGTCACCATCTATAGTGATCACAACCCTCTCATCTATCTTAGTGCCATGAAGAATCATAATACCTGACTGATGAGGTGGAGTCTCAGGCTGCAACTCTACAATTTCTCCATTTGCCACATAGCCGGAAAAGACAATATTCTGGTGGACTATCTCATAAATAGGTTAGAATGTGTAAGGGACCATATGGGTAGTCAACTTTTTTTCTCCCTTATGGTCATAATACAAAAATGTTCGTTAATTTGACCATAAGGTTTTTATAGTGAGGGAACACTTGCTACCATCCACAAGTGTCTCGAACCAACGCTAGTCCTACTGCCTGTTGTTTTGCTCTAGGGCAGTGTTTGACCTGGAAGTCTCTTGGAATTGAACACAACCTAATGAACTGGATAGTTGAGAGGAAAGGAGGTTCCATTAGTGTTCAGTGCCGTGGCAGCACACTACCCATGGAGGGGAAGCCTAGTCCTGACTATTAGAGGGATGAGGGTGTGGCATGTTAGAGGTTGTTCGGCTTATGTTACACACCCACAAAAGCTGCCTCCCGACCAGCAAACCAAGTGCTATGGATTTAATTATCTAATAAGGTTCCCGTCTTTACATCAGTACCTTGGTTCATCGGCCAATCACAGACAAGCCCGCCAGAGCTGTGAAGGAATGCGTTTCACTTGTGACATAAGATTTGGCAGACTTGCCTGGGCTAGTGGTCAATTACAGTGCTTTGTCTGGTTTTTGCTTTCTGCCTTCTTTGACCACTGTGTTGTACACTTGTTCTTACATCATTGTACATACTGTAAATATCAGCTTGCTTGTTTGGTGAAGGAAATACAGGTCATATAACTTGTGTTTTGCTTGTTCCACTATTCATTCAGTTACAACAAGGTGTGCAGGCCATTCTACATCTGTGTTCATAATACTTTTTTACTGGCTTCAGAAATACACTAAAAAATGCATTTTTTAACAAAAATGAAAGGGGTAAAATTTTATGATTCATGACATGGAATTCTCTGCATGCATCCTAGTATATCAGTGTTATAGTTACATAATCATACAACCTTCCCTTCTGAGATCATTATCAGCAGCAGATTAACAAAATGTATCCTTATCCTGCTTTATTTTCATTACGCTTATACATGATACATTGTATTCATGGTAAAATAAATATTATAAGATTATAGTAGTAGTAGCAACAATATTAGCATTATTATAATGAAGTTTTTCTATGACTCATGGAAGATATAATTTATGCTTCAATATTTTATTAAATACACCATTTGCATAAAAAACTGAGAAAATTACCAGCATGAATCTGACTGTTGGAAACATCCAAAGAATTAATGGGTCACATATAAATACCACAACTGCCAAAAACATAGGCTCACCATGATCTGTAGCAAAACAATCAATCACATCCAAATTATCCCAGAGGGCCTGCTGGTCTTCTTTGGAGACCAGTTTTGGACGAACTTCTCCCTTTAAGCCCAGGTGTTCCAGGTCATCAGCTGTGAGGAAGAGGTGATGAGGACACACCTCACATGTCACTGCCATGCCCTGATAAAGATGTCACTCTCAGTGTACAGATAAATAATATCTTACAGAAACTTGTAAATGAGAAAATGCAGTAGTCTATAATCACAATTTATTTTCCAAGGAGATAGCTTTGCATTGCAAAGATTTCTTACATGGAAATGCTCAGTTATGTAAAGCATTTCAGCAAGACTTGAACTATGAGGGTCAATACTGACTTTAGTTGCTCAGCAGAGTTTAGCAATATTTTGTAGTTTACCATGTATAATAATGACTGAATTTTGCAAGACATTTGTGTGCAAGTTGTTAAAAACATTTTGTTTAATATTTACTTCAGTTGTTCAGTTTTTATTATGTAAAATCTAAAATATTAAATAGGATGTGCACTGGAGACAGTTATGTTTGGGCTTTGTGGGATTTTCTTTAAATGAAAGAGTTGTGGCTAATGAGTAGGATTTAGTATTTTAATGCATTTTTTTGTGAAAGATGAGTTGTGGTAAAGTTGTGTGGTGAGCCTGACTTGTACTCCCCATAAGACCTGACCATAAATATGTTGAAGAAGTTGGGATACTATATATAGTACATCAAAATCAGTCAGTCTTGCATGTATAAACAATGATGTAAATATATGCTTAAAACTGTGATATATGGAATAATACATTTTGCATAACATTATGTGAAATAACACAACAGTGTATATACAAATGAAAAGTATTTCACATGGCAATACTAAATGAAATATATTTTTTTAACACTCCAGCTGTCTCCCAGTGAGGTATGGTGACCAAGCAAACAAAACACTTTCACTGTCATTCACTCAATCACTGTCTTGCCAAAAGTGCACTGACCTTACAGTTCAGGTGACTCTCCAAACCACAACATCCTCATTCATCTTTCAGAGTGAAAGCCCTGTACCTCCCACCTCCAGGACTCAAATTCAGCTAACAGGTTTCCCTGAATCGTTTCATGTTATCTTGCAAATCATAAAAACTACTTGCCTCCATTCACTCCAATAAAAGATGGACACACAAGCATGTCCAAGGCCCTAGCACTCAAAAGCTCCTTCACTCCCTCCCTCCTACCATTCTGAGGACAATTCATACTCCTTCCATCCACCCCAGATTTATATGCTTTCCTAATCATTCTCTCTAAATGTCCAAACCACCTCAACTTCTTCTCAGCTCTCTGAACAATACTTTAGTAACTCCACACCTAATCTCAAAACTTCAATTCTCAGCATAATATTCACACAAACAACCATAGGTTACAATGTGCAGATGCATATAAAACATGTTGCTAGGTACAAAGAAAGCCACCAGCATGCCAGGGCATTTTGGGCAGACTAAACCTAATGCTGATCAACTACTTAATACTAGACATATAAAGAGTGGTAAATTTTAATTATACACTGTTTTCCTTATTACAACAGTGAGGTAGCTAATAATTTGCAGTAATCAAATTTCTCGTTGAGATGAAGTATATAAAAAAATAACAGTACAGTGGTACCCCGAGTTTCGTGCAGCTCCCAACTCAAATAATTATGTAAGTACAGTATAACCTCCACTTGTGAGGGCATCCATGTGCAAGTTTTTCCAAATATGAGCAGTCGATTTCTCAATTTTTTGCTTCCATACACGAGCGAAATTTCCATAAGCGAGCGGGCCTCAAGGGAGGTTCCTTGACGCTGGTGAGGGGCTCTTGCTCTTGATCTAGGGAATTGGATCTCATTTGTTTGTTGGACTATCTTTTTGAAACTTGGGCAATGTATGATGGAAAGATGCCTCTTAACCCTTTGACTGTTTTGGTCATATATATACATCTTACGAGCCACAGTGTTTGATGTATTAGTAAGCATAAATTCTAGCGGCTTCAAGTAGGAGAAAGCTGGTAGGCCCACATGTGAGAGAATGGGTCTCCATGGTCAGTGTGCACCATATAAAAAAAAAATCGGGGAGCCAGTGGTGCATTGTGGGAATGCCATTTCAGTAGTCCTTGTTCACCATGCCTAGCAGTAAGAAATATGTGATTCCCTGGCAAATCTGGGACTCTACTCTTCCCAAGTGATGCTCTAACACAGATGAAAGTGTCAGTGAAGATCAATTTCATGGTTTTGAGGAGTTTGTGACCAAAAGCAATGCCCAGGATACGAGAAGAATGAAGGAGAATGAGAGAGAAAATGAGAGAATGAGGGAGAGAATGAGGGAGAGAATGAGAGAGAGACAGAAAATGAGATAATGAGAATGAGAATGAGAGAAAGAGAATGAGAATGAGAGAATGAGGGACAGAAAGAGAGAATGAGGGAGAGAATGAGTGAGAAAGAGAATGAGTGAATGAGGGAGAGAAAGAGAATGAGAGAGAGAATGAGAGAGAATGAAGGAGAGAATGAGGGAGAGAATGAGTGAGAGAATGAGGGAGAAAGATAATTAGATAGTAGGATGGAGGGGAAGCCAGCATCTGACCCCATTGTTTTGACAGGCGGTAGGGGGAGTGAGTAATGAGACAATGTGTCATTTTGACAGCTGCTGACCCTGACTCAGAACAATTAGAAGTCCCCACACTCACACAACACAATTTTGCTGAAGATAATAGCAGTTATATGAAAGTATCCAGTGACTATACATGTGTATATATATTATAGAAACCAGAAGAAAGGAAGGAAGGACAAGTTGAAAGGAAGGAAGGAAAAAATTAAGGAAGAAAGGAAAGGAGGAGGGAAGGAATGTAGGAAGAAAGGTAGGAAAGGAAGGCAGGAAGGAAGGAATGATGACACACGACCATTTACTTAGGATAACTACCTAACACAACTGCCTGCTAATACTTTGAAGAAAACTGCTCAGACGAGGTGTTTTGTCTTTGCACATCAAAAAAAAAAAAAGCCCACAAAAATGCAGACACACTTGTTTTATGTGTGAGGAGTGTAAAACACCATTGTGTATGAAACCATATTTCAAAGAGTTCCACAAGTTGCAGAACTTCTAGGAACATGTCCAGTGACTGTACATTTGTATATACATTATAAAACAATAGTAATAAAAAAATTTTGTATTGTTTGTGTAAACAAGTTTTGTAAACAATATATTGATAATTATGTTTGTGCACTTATTGTGTCTGCCAACTTTACACTTCTATATCTCGGTAAGTACTGATCACAAAAAAATTTTTTGGGCTTAAAACAATCAGAAAATTAATCTTAACATTTTCATAAGAAAAAAATAATTTTTTTTTTTAAATTCTTCGACACCACGAGACACTTCAGGATTTGGGGCTGCAACAGTCAAAGGGTTAATGTACACTAAAAATGAAAGAAATCAGACGATCAATAATCGAGTTCATTTCTAAGCTATTAGCTGCCCCTTAGTGGTATTTTCGTATGGTTTTTATGGTTGTATTCTCGCTTTTTTGGTCTCATTTGATAGAATGGAAGATATATTACAGGAATAGATATGATTTTGATTGGTTTCATGATGAAAAGTACCTTGAAATTGAGCTCAAAGTAGCAGAAATGTTCGATTCTTTGGCAATGTTCAAGAGTAAACAAATGACGTCACTGTACATTCCAATATGCAGTCATGAATGGGTTAACATTATTTATATAATCATTACAATAATGCAGTAGTCTGTATAACAGTAAATCTTCCATTTTTTTGTGTGATTAAAAATTACAAATTATTTATATTGTAAGATAAGATAAGATTTCGTTCGGATTTTTAACCCCGGAGGGTTAGCCACCCAGGATAACCCAAGAAAGTCAGTGCGTCATCGAGGACTGTCTAACTTATTTCCATTGGGGTCCTTAATCTTGTCCCCCAGGATGCGACCCACACCAGTCGACTGACACCCAGGTACCTATTTGCTGCTAGGTGAACAGGACAACAGGTGTAAGGAAACGTGTCGAAATGTTTCCACCTGCCGGGAATCGAACCCGGGCCCTCCGTGTGTGAAGCGGAAGCTCTAGCCACCAGGCCACCTAGGTAGTAGGTTGGTAGACAGCAACCGCCCAGGGAGGTACTACCGTCCTGCCAAGTGAGTGTAACACGAAAGCCTGTAATTGTTTTACATGATGGTAGGATTGCTGGTGTCCTTTTTTCTGTCTCATGAACATGCAAAATTTCAGGTACGTCTTGCTACTTCTACTTACACTCAGGTCACACTACACATACATGTACAAGCGTATATATACATACCCCTCTGGGTTTTCTTCGATTTTCTTTCTAGTTCTTGTTCTTGTTTATTTCCTCTTATCTCCATGGGGAAGTGGAACAGAATTCTTCCTCCGTAAGCCATGCGTGTTGTAAGAGGCGACTAAAATGCCGGGAGCAAGGGGCTAGTAACCCCTTCTCCTGTATATATTACTAAATTTGAAAGGAGAAACTTTGGTTTTTTTCTTTTGGGCCACCCTGCCTCGGTGGGATACGGCCGGTGTGTTGAAAGAAGAATAATAATAATAATACATATAATAATAATAATATAATTGTTATACATGTATGTATAATAATAATGTACTAAACTATATATGTATACTATATAATAATAATTATAATAATAGATGCTTCAAAAGGCCATCACTAGATGGCAGTGTTTACCACAATAAAGCAGCAGCGGTTGTAGCTGCCTCCACTTGTTTATTACTTAACATCATCTTATTCATTCTAGTGTATATATACGTATATATATCAGGTTTCTATGTTATTTATATTGTTTATTATGTTATATTAGATGAATTGTGAGAGATAAATAAGCCGAAGAGTTGATATTAGGGAAATTATTGAAGTATTTTATCTTGCCTCCTGAGAGCCGAAACGAATTAATTGTATTTCAATTAATTTAAACGAGGAAAATTGACTCTGCAAACAAGCAAATCCAGATGCAAGGTCATGGAATGGATTAAACTCATGAGTGGAGGTTCCGCTGTATATTGTTGTAAGTGCTTATGTAAGTGTATTTTTGAGGGTCTGAAACAGACTAATCTAATTTACATTATTCTTTATGGGAACAAATTTGTTCAGTAACGGCACTCAAACAGC